TGAAGAAAGTTGAAGAACACTTGGGACAACAGAGAATAACTTAATTTTCCTTTGAGTGACCTTGCAGTTATTATCCTCCATATAGACAATTATGCTTCCTTACTTCTGGGAAGTAGGAAGGAATAGAGCAAATGTTTAAAATTGTGGATTCTGGGAATACAGAGAAGGTGATTAAAATCTCACTTGGGATTATATAATTTATCCGAATGTTAACTTCCTCATCTGTAAAAGAATTATAAAAATAATACATACTTTAGAGCTGTGAGAATTCAATGAATGAAATGCTAAGCTTCGTGTCTGGCACATTGATGGACAGTCTCTGTTATTAAACCAAGTAGAGCCTAAGTGGAGTTCTGTTTACTTCAGCTATGCTCCCTATTTCTCATGACAAACAGTAGTGTTAACCTTTTGTGGCTGCTATGAAAACATTAGATCATGTATGCAAATCTACTCTCTGATCACTAGGTCATTCTAAGGTTTCTGCCCAGTTCCTCTCCCCAAATTAAGACCTGGGGTGAGGAATGCAGTGCCTTTTTCATTAAAAGAAGACAATCACAGACATGGTGAGTTCTTCAACCTTTAACATATTCACTCAGATGAGTGAGGTCACAGATAGAGAAATAAATAATTTTTACTCTTACTGTGTCACCACCTTTATGGTCTCCTCCAGCTGGTGTCCAAACAAAACAAAACAAAAAACAGCCATGCATTACACTCTATATCATTTATTTGACAAATGCTTATTAAATAATTGCTAAATTCATGTTGATTTGATAGGCATCGAAGAAGGCAATAGCCATATGGGCATGCAACATGAACAAGACAGAAAATACCCACCACTCCTCAGCAGGGACTCTCCCTGCTTGACACTCCCAAGCCCTGTTGAAATCCCATTACCTTGATGAAGCCATGATCTCTTACCTCTTCATTTTCTCCTTTTCCTTTTTTCCTGTTACAAATCATGGCCTCCACTAATGTTTGAGTTATAGAAACCAGGACAGAGTCCACAGATACAGAGTGTGGGGTCTGACATCAGTCTGAGAGTTTAAATGGAGAAGACCTTGGCTTGGGAAATACATGCCTCTTCCTGACAAGCCCTGTTTTCTTGACCAACTCCTTTATATCTTTCATGATTTACCCTAAAGACCATGCCTTCCCTGTGAGTTTTTCTCTGAAATACCTTGACAAGTTTTTGAAGAATGGGTCGGGAATGTATTTATTTCATTTAAAAAATATTTTTATTTTTTTTTTGCATAGAAGAACTGGGGGATAGCCAGAGGTGGGGAGATGAGAGGATGAGAAAGAATGGGGAGCAGAGCAGGCAGATGTACTGAAATACAGTGCTGAGGGGAGCAGCAGGACAGGAGAGGTCTGTTGTGCCACGTGGGTCAGCTCTCTGGCCAGGTGTTGAACTCAGGCCTAAAAGAGACTTTGTTTGTCTGCATATGTACATGCCCAATAGACTTCAGGCTTGGGAGTGACAAGAGTTCTGTTCATCTCTGAGACCTGAGGTGGAGTAAATACCATTGATTTCCTATAGATGCTGAATAAGTTCATTGAGTGCCCCCTTCCAACAGATCTGTCTGCAGATTCCATTCAACTCAGAAATAGGGACAGAAAAATCTGGACTCACCTTGCCTCTCAGGGTTACACAGCACTCCTAATTAGGGAGGCCCTTCGAGTTTCTCACACCCCCTTTTGTGGGTCACACAGTCTGCCGTGTAGCACCAAAGCCACTTTATGATAATTTACATACAAATGGGTAAGCCCGTGTTCTACCAAAACTTTATTTACAGGTAATTGAAATTGGAATTTCATGAAATTTTCATGTATCTCATATTCTTATTTTTTTTTTCTAACCATTTACAAATGTGACCATTCTTAGTTTTAGGGGTGCACAAAACCTAGTAGAGGGCTAGATTTGGCCTTTGAATTTGAGCTTGCCCACTCCTACCTGGCCAATGGTCACTGATGGTTTAGATTTATTAACTTAGCTTAATACTCGTTCTGGCTCCTGCTCAGCCAAAATGGAGATCCAATGAGCAGTAAGTATAATCCTCATCTTTTCTTCCATTCCCACCCACTTCTCCTTATCTCCTGCCCTCAAGCTCCAACTCCACAGGTCTTTCTGCAAAACAGAAAACTTTTTAAATTGATGATACTACTGGGGATATAGGGGCTTGTTTTCTTGTGAGAAAATGAAAATGACTCCAGTGACTATTTGGTCTCTGAAACCATTTAATTTAGTGTTTTTTTCTTTTTTCTCTTTCCTTATCTCCATACTAGAAATTAACATAAAAATTCCTTCTGGCTAAATTCCCAATATGTTTTCACAGTGAGCATTTTCTGAAGTGAAAATTAGTAGCTTCCTTGCAGTTTTCATCAGGGATGTGAAATTGTGCAGCTCACAGGGGTGGAGAACTCAAATCCCATTTATGAATTAATACATGCTGCTGTGGGTACCTCACTGTCTGCTGAGTGCCAGGCATTCTTTCCTACAGAATCCTGAGTATCTAACTTGTCTATTTTAATTTTCTTTCTCTACCAGGGAGACCATATCATTTTCTATTTGCACAAATGAATTAATGTGTAGCAACTAGTACCTATAGAAGATTATATTTACTTAAACCATCTTTTGGGGTTGGCAACACTTTGGCACTTTATATTGCCTCTTTGTAGTTCCTCCTCCTTGGCTCCCAGTTTATATCAAGGTGAAATCTTATTCTACTGAATTTTAAGGACAGCTTTGAAAGGGAACCACAGTTGGTGGAGGTAGGCATATGGGGACAGGAGCTGGTGTAAGTTCCACGTATGGTGCCTGATGATTAGGTGTCTGTAAGGCTTCCTTGTTAAAACATAAGATTCTACTTTCACACTGTCTTCTTCCTTTATGATCTCTGCTTCTCTCTAGCTCTAGCCATCTGGTCCCCAAAGCAGCCTTAACTCCTCAATCTCAGCATCTAAGCCATTGAGCAAGAGCCCTCCTTAACTCCCACTGTTTTGACTCTGTTTTTTCAGGCCAGAAAACTGTTACATAGAAAATTTGACTTCTGTAGCACTACACAGAAACTGTGAGATAAAGAATGCTGTAATTCTTAAAACAATTGTGGGCTCTGGGTCAAGACAGAGTTGGATTTGAATCCTGGTTTATCACTTAAGAGCTATTACAGACTCTCGGCGAAATAATTAGTTTCTCTGCGTCTTAGTTTGGATAGCTATGAAATGGAAGGGAAAAAATACTATCAGATGAGGATTAAATGAGATAATAAACAGTTAGTATCAATAAAAGGCTGAGGAGAGCATTTAGTAAGTACTCAATAAAAATGTTACCACTTTGAACAGATTTCCTCCCTTCATTTATACTCCATACATTTGTTGCTTTGCTGTTTGCTTCTGAGAAGTCATACAAATAAAATATTTGCACAACATGAAATAGAGGAGCTGTGTTAAGGTGCAAAATCAGCCATATACTAGTGAGTGTGTACAAGCACAAGATAGATGTGTGTACAGAAGGTGATCACTCCCAGAGGAAAAGTAGGAAGTGTCAGCATACCCGAGGATGTCAAAGAAAGCAGTGTTCAATATAAAGGATGAAGAGAAGTTTGACAAGTGGAGAAGGGTGGAGGAACATTCCCACCAGACAGAAAGTTCTTAATAAAACCTTGGTTTTATTAAGAGGTGTGAACCTATTTCCCTAAACCTTATACAGTGTTGTAAATCAGTGATACTGCAATACAAATACAAATAAACATGTAAATATATCATAAACATTATATATAATAAAAAATAAAGATCTTTAAATGTAAAAAAAAAATGTTTAGGGTAATAGAGATGGAGAAAGTCACCACAGGTGAGGCCAATAAAGGGTGTTGGTGTCAGATGATGAGAACCTGAATGTCATGCTGACTAAATTGGACTCAGACATGCTCAGTGGGTGGTTGTGACATACAAGAAGGTAGAATGTCATTAAAGATGGCCCTTCTCTTTGTGAAGTGTGACTGAGCTTTAATAGAGCTCTCTGGAGTATTCAGCCACCAGAGTTTTGTCCAATCCTTCAATTGAGGAAACTGAGGTCAGAGATCAAGTACCCAATAAAATCCTGAGAAAACAACAGAACTAAGAATAGTTCATTTGCACCCAGTGCTTTCCACTTCCTCCACACCAAGGCTCCCTCATTTACATCCAGGCTTCTTCATGGAAGGTTGTATCCTACACCCTAGATCCAATACAGGTCCACCCAGGGCCCTTTACAGGGGAACTACCTCTCTCCTACCTTGTGAACCTCAAAATTTTCAGTTCTGCTTATGGGGCATGGGGATGTCATCTGGGAGTAAGGATGGGCCTTTTCCAAGGAGGTAATGAACTGACTGTAGTATCTTGCTGATGCCCAAACAAAATCAAAACCCAAAGCAGAATGTGAAAAATTTTTTTCTTTCCTTTGAATTTGCAAACTAGGTTCTGTTTTACAACTGGAAAGCAACTGTATCATACTGTAACTGCTCCCTTCCCTGCTCTTATTACTTTTCCCTCTGCCACTATCCAGCCCTTCCTTTCCTGTGGCTTAGCAGGAAGCACACCAGTGAAAATAGGGGTGTGTGTGTGTGTGTGTGTGTGTGTGTTGTGTTTTCAGGCTACAGGTGCCTGGGGAACCCAAGACCCAGAGCAACAGAGCCAGGACAGGCCTGGGGGCTCGGGTGTCCTCCCACATCGCGGCCCACAAAAAGGGCTACAAGCTGAGCTTCACTTTCAGCTTCCACAGGCTCCCTGCCAGCAACGCCTTGGCTTCTCCAGAACCGGGGAGCTCGCCTTCTCTCCTCCCTTAGCAACCGGGAGGCTGTGGATACCGCTGAGTGTTGGCCCCCGAGGCTGCGAGTAGCCGGGCGCTGAGGGGTGGCGGTCAGGCCCAGGTGGCCGGCGCAGGCGACCGCAGTGCGGAGCACGACTGTCGCAGCGCCAGCGCTCACCGGGCCCCACGCACCCATCCGCCGCACCTGCCGCGGTTCCAAAAGGGAACCTGCAAATATGAGCCATTCTCACCCCGCTGGGTAAGTGTCTACTGGAGCTTTTCCACGCGGTGGCAGGTGGCATCTGTGGCCAGTAGCCCCTCCCCCTCCCCCCTCCCGCGAAGGGAAGGGGTGAGAGGGGGAGCACGAGGGAGGGCTGGGGCCAGAAAACAAATAATGCAGATTCTGGGTTGCAGTGAGGATGGCAGAAATCCCAGGTTTCTTATTACCTCCCTCCCCTTCCTCGCTTCTTTCACCCACTTTCGCCCCCTCTTGGAAATTTTCACTCTGAAAGGATTAAAAAATGGATGTGAAAAACGCATATATTAAGCAGGGACGTTAGCTCGGATCAAGGGAAGCCGTTATAGTGGAACATGTATCTTTAAATGCAAAAATAGAGGTCACCAAAATATGCATTCATTTGGGGACTATGAAAGAAATTTTCACTGCGGCTGCTTGCATACAAATGAGGTTTGAGATGATTTGCCGATAAAGGAGCTTTCATTGTGAGGGGTGCCCCCTTTTCCAGGGTTTTTATATGCCCAATTTCAAAAGGCTCATTCTAAGGGTCCTTTAAAAGTGTTTGGAGTAGGGAAGGTGGTGTGACACAGGAAAGGAAGGGGAGAAGGAAGAAATTGTGCCCAAGTGGTTACCAGGCTCTCCTGCGGCTTTGTCAGGGTGCTGCCTCAGTAGGCATAGACTGGCAATTCTTCAGTCTCGTCTACAAAGTTAACGCAGCTATTATTGCTTGTTTAAAGAAAAATAAAATGGTTTTGTTTCTTTTATTGGATGGAGGAATATCCAATTTCCTTCTGAATTAAACAATGTAATACATATTAGATTTTTTTATTATGATACATCTAGTAAGCAGATAATATCCTAGCTGATCTTGCAACTAATTTGAGGATGCTTTCCTCTTTAATTGAATTTATTGCACATTTTCAACAACAGCAAATTAGCAAAGGACAACATGTTTAAGATCATTTAGAGTTTGTGATGTCTGAAATACCATCTTGGTTGTTTTGCTTCAGATTTAGTCTTGAGTTAAAGATTTTACTTTTTAATGAATTTTCTGAGTGTAACGATGTAAGTGAAAATGCACACACTGGAGGCCTATAAGGTATCATGCTGGAAAACAGTTTCAGAACTTTTTGGAAAGTGATGTAGCTATGACTAACCAAGCTTTTTATTTTAGCTCACATTGAATTTACTTTAGGTGCTTTGATGCTTTGATGCTGAACTCCTGTGTGGTGTTAGCTAGCCCTGGGTCATGTGGGGTGTAAGTGGGAGTCTTCTGCAGCTGCTGTTTGCAGTATGTCCACATTCAGCAAAATGAATGTGTCAGTCATGGTTGTCTTCCTATGTTTTTCAAGTGTTTGGCAAAGTTAGAATCTGATTAGACCATTTAATCATCTATTTTAAAATGTGGAAAACCTGTAGCTGCTTATTAAATTGTGCATGATTAAGATTTCAGAAATGGAAATGAAATTTTTCTGAATTTCCATTAGTTCCAAGCACACAGGATAAAGAAAAATATGTGATCTGGTGAAAGAGTGGGCCACTTGTGCTCTTCAAGAGAGATTGTAAAATGGCATCAATAATTTTGCACTAAAGGTGTAAGTTCCTGGAAAGCAGATCCTATATCTTATTAATCTTTATGCCCCTTACACCTAGGAGAACATTCTGCATAAAGTTCAACAAACGTTAAGTTGAATGAATGGTATGTTCTGATGGCGTAGGTGCAGGGCCATGTCTTCACAGGTGAAAAATCATACCTAAGCCAAACATTTAGTTAAGTGCTTACTGTGTTCCTGGATCTAATTGAAAGCTGTACATGAAATACCTCATTTACTTCCCATCCACTCTCGAAGGCATGTTCTGGCCACCCTCTTTTTCACAGGTGATGAAACTGAGAGCTGAGTAGTTTTAAAGGTCTCACAGGTTGCAGAGGTGGTCTCTGCAGTCAGGCAGTCCTTCTCCAGAGCCTCTCAGCGTCAGCAGCTAAGGTATGTAGGGGCCATGGATGATAGAAATTCTTATCCACATCAGACCAACATCTGATGTATAGAACTACCTGGTAGTTTGATGTACAATTAGAAGACAATCTTGTAGTAGGATGCATGTAGCTCTTGTTTTTAGTGCAGAGGAAAATAATAAGCATGACTCTAAATGCCTTAATATTAAACCAAGAATAAAATTATTAAAATGGTTAAAGTTTCTCCCTTAATATGTGATTATCTGGAAATTATATTGTGATTATGGAATTAGGAAAGTTTCCATAGCAAATAAAAGGTCTAATAAAACTGAGAAAGCTTTCCATCATTATGAAGCAGTTTGTACTTATTACAGTTTAAGGAAAAGTGGTAATAAAGTGCAGTGATTCAGTAAAACAGAAATTTTAAATCTCTAAATTCCGTCAATCAATAGATGATGCCTTGATGCTTTCTCTTGGTGCTTCCTTTTGAGTTCCACTGCTTTCTTAATTACAACATGAAACACTTGATGTGAAAATTGCAAAGGGCCTGTTCTGACTCTGCTCAGAGTTTGGAGTAAATAAAAATGGTCTTAAAAACTTCTGCCAAAGATTATAATAGAGTCTTTGAATCTGAGCTGCATTGTAATTTGGGGGAAGTCAACTATAAAGGACTGTTTCTGTCACTGCCATCTCTGATGAAATTGTTTCAGAGTGGAAAATTTTGATTGATATTCCCTCTAGTTGCTTTATCTCAGCTCCTGTTGCTTTTTGTTTGTGTGTGTGTGTGTGGGTCACACAAAATACTCCTTGAGGCAGGATGGGGATTTTCTAGCTCTCAGTCATGCATGAGGATAAAATGATATGGCTCTTCTGGCTCCTTCAAAGGATCATCCGTGAATCCATGTGAAGTTGGCCTCCTATGTGGAGATACACTGGGCTCTAAGTACAGATATTCACACTCCTCTGAAAACTGGCTTTGAGGAACTGGAAGAACAGGGAACATTATGGTTTGTTACAGGATAAAAATGCAGAAGCTGTTGTATATTTGAAAGGATTGTTTCAAGGTCTAGAGGCTTTTTGTTTGTGTATGCTGATTCATTGACACCTTTTTAATGTAAAGAAGTGTTTCTGTAGTGACACAGTATACCGAAGTGTGGAGTAGAAAGGATGTATACGTTCCTAGTGCTCCCTGACAACACAGACTTTCTTCACCAAAGATGGCATAAAAACCACCATTAGCAAAATTGTCAATTTTTAGAGAATCGGATATGTGTATTCATAAGAGACAAAAATTACAAGTCCTCCTACTATATTATTTACAACAGAAATGTCCATCACACTTTGTATCTGTCTTCTTAGCAAGCTGTAATATTTTGGGGGGCTGTTGTAACATCCTAACATGTTTGTTGCTCACCACTCCCACCACCAAAATTATCTCTCTCATGCAGAATGTCATACATGAGATTATTAAATATGTGAATTTGAATTGGGTAGTTTATATTCACCCTCTTGTTAATTAACAACTTAATTAACTTTGAGGAGAAAATTGTTCCTGATTAAACAAGTTGAATGAAAGCTTTTCATTTATTTTGACTCCTTTCATCATTTTGTTATAGAGTCTGCTTTTTTGTTTTTAATAGTTGCAATGCCTTTTTTTTAACATTACCTTTGTTTAACATATCTATTCACATAAATAGGTGGAAATGAATGAGACATAACCTCACTCAATTCTTTGAATTCCTTCCCCATATGCCAAAAATCACCAAAGTTTTTGATGATCTATCAAATGACAACTTGACCAGATTTCCTTTTAATTGTGTTAAAAGCAAAGGACTGAAAACTACTTTCAGTTGCATTTATTGCCCAGTCATGAAGCTCATTTATTTTGTCAACATCTATAGGACACTTCAACTTGTTCTTTTGTTTTTCAGATGATTTCCTAAATTCTATATACTTTAATAAGATACCAGAAGGTCAGAAGCATGCCTTTCTTTTGTAAAGGTGATTATAAAAATGAAGTGAATGGGTGTAGATCAACAGCACTTGAAAATGAATTTTCAAGCTTATCAGACTTGGGAGAATACAAGGAAAACTTAAAAGTCTGGAAATTGACTTATCTTTGGTAACTATTTTGCCTGGGTTCCTTGAGAAAAGTCTTCAGATATCACAAGGGGTGTGCCTATTCTAGTTTGAAATTGGCAGCCTAGAGAACAGGGTGCCATTGGATGCAATCTATTGCAGTGTTTCACTTCCTTTCTCTCAGTGTCTTTTGAAGAAGTGTATTTCTAATAGAGAGGGGGAGTAGTGACATCCCAACTTATTTTGTTTGTTAATAATTATATAAAAGTGTTTGTATTAAATGAGAAAATAGACCCAATTTTCAACTCTAAAATCAAACTCAAATAATCTGGACCCAGGATATTTATATATATTCAAGATTCAATGATACCAGAGATACCATTTTCAAGGAAAAGTTTGGATTTTGGAAGATAGTACTGAAACAACCTGTTCAACATTAGTTATTAATTTTAGTACAAGGAGATAGAGTATACAGATTGAAATACTGAATTTCCCCTCTAATGGCTAATTCTCCTCCTTATGAAAATAGTTGCTTATAGTAGTACATGCTTTGGAATGATCCAATAGTTTTCAGTCATTTTTAAAAAAGATTTATTTATTTTATGCATATAGAACTGGGGTACAGGCCAAAGGTGTGGGGTGTTGAGAGTATTCACCAGAAACAGAGTAGGGAGCAGAACAGCTGACTAACGAAGTACGCTGCTGAGGGGAACAGTAACCGGGTCAGGAGAGGTCTGCCACGCCATGTGGATCACCTCTGGGCAGGGGATCAAACTCATGCTGAAGTGGCTTTAGCTTCTTTTTTTTTTTTTTTTAAAGATTTATTTATTTGTGCATACAGAACTGGGGTACAGGCCAGAGGCTCAGGGGTGGCGAGAGGCTTCACCAGAGACAGAGTAGGGAGCAGAACAGGCAGATCGATGAAGTACACTGCTGAGGGGAGCAGGGGCGGGCCAGGAGAGGTCTGCCACGCCATGTGGTCACCTCC